TGAGCATCCCCAACATGCACAATTTCTTCCAGTGTGACTGCGTCATCCTTACAAGTAGCTAATGCCCACCCTGCACAAACAGCATAGGACATGTATTTGGCACCGTTTTACTGCCTTCAGCCGTAGTCCAGACCTATCATTCTGTATGGAAGCCAAAGACTTTCAGAGTCTGCAAAGAGCTGAGAAATTTCTTTTTCAGATTATGTTAAGGTAATGAGACTCTCTTTCAACCTGTTTGTAGTCAATGCTGCTGGCGAGTCCTTACTTTCTGAGCATTTCCATGCTGCTCTGTCAGAGGTCGCTCCAGACCCTTGTACCAAAGTACAGAGAAAAACTACAGCATTGAAGAGATTATATGAGGGGAAGGATGACCTCTACGTAGATATATGCTCAGGTTAACAAGTAGCCCATGCTGGATTTCCATGGCTTAGTAAAAAATTTGTTTTTGCAAAGTTAAACACAGATACAAACAGAAGTCCAGCTGGATCACAGCTGAGCAGAATCCAGTTTTATGAAGCATGCCTGAGAGACCCTGGAAAATGTTGTTATGGTTGGGATTTTTTTTAGTAATTTAGTTTTCTTCAACAGTCAGTCTAACAGAACAAAGTCAGTGTTTGGAAGAGATCTCTAACTTCTAAATGTCTCTCTCAGATATATCATTAAAGTTGGCTCTGGCAATTTGCAAGTTTTAGGCCCTTATCAAAATATCCTTACACAGGCCAGGTATTATTATTATTGCTTGAAAATCCTCTCAAGTAAAGATTACTTATAGATGAGATGAATATTGAATAAATGTAATCCATGGATTAATTAGCTAAAGCCCTATGTTAATCAGAAAGCAAGAAAGGGAGAAACACTAGCTCATTAAGCATTTACAAGTATGTTATATGTGCTTCCAGGATTCAGTTACCCTCTCTCCATAACACAACTGCTTTTTATTTAACACTTGGATGTGTGTGAGATACCCAATGTCCTTGTATGTTAAAATTCAAAACTGTCAAATTATATAGTGCTAGTCATCACCAATGTGAGGAGAAAATGCTAAATAGTATAGGACAAAATATTAGCACTACAACTCCATAAATTGCTTACACTCTGCATACAAAGTCTGACATTTATGTAAGTAATAGCTGGATTCGTAGCTGTGCATTACTTATTCACACCTTGTGTGGAATAACTCAGAGGTAAAAGACTCATCCATTAATTTTCTCTCCTCAGTCTACAATCCTAAGAAATCCTAAGCACTGCAAGACACTTTATCATCTTAGGGAAAATCAGGCTCATAAGCTGAGGACAGCAGTGTGTCTGGTGCTGAAGAATGGCAGCATTTCCCCATGGTATGGCTATGCAAGCTCTGGTCAGTCCTGCGCAGGTCTGTCATCTGTTTAATGCATGCACAGAGGCATGGAAAGTCCACATGTCCACTCCCTCATAGCTCATGAGATGTCTTATTGCTCTTCCAAGCCTACCATGCTTGAGTCTTGTTGTAACATTTTTGTGTTCATTTCTCCTTTAATGGAGCACCTTCTACCATCAAAGACAGGTGTCAAAAGGATATGAAATGAAGTACACTTTACTTATTTCAAATATAACATTTTGTAGACTATCACACCTTCATGATCCCCATGAATAATTCCATATTGCATATAAACAATAATATCTTTTTCTTTTTAAACTTTCTTTTTTTGATCAACACTATTCAGTGCCTACGAACTACAAGACAAAACCAGCACAGAGATACGGTGAGATCTCAACCACCCTGATTCTGGGGAGAAATTACAGACCTCTAAGATCTACCAAAAAGCAAGGCAAACAAGACTGGCATGTCTGTGGTTTGGCCAAATAATTTTGCACTTTTTCTTGGTCTCAGCTTGCATTACACCACTTAGTTGCATTGGACCCCACTCCTCCCCAGGCTCCGCTGTCCAGCCCTCTGCGTCACCTCTAGCCACTCTGACAGTAACTCTGCAAGTCTGCCACATGCCTCCCTGAGGACATGGACCACAAGGGACAAAGACCCCAAGGTTTCTCATCACTCTTGTGTGGCTGCACATCAGCCTCAGGTGGACCATCACTTCTGGAAGAGTAAGATAGCATCAGCTTGAGACTCTAAAGCAAAGGGAGCAGCATATCATATGCAGAGGGTCTGTTGCACCATACACTGAGTTGGAAAGGTAATGTAGGGATTTTCTCCTTAAGGGTAAGCCCTTGGGCAGCCACTTTGATAACACTCTTCATCAGGAAATAATTGCCATGCATTATGCAACTCCCTCCTCTCCATGGGATGGAGTCCAATGGAGTAGGAAGCATGAAAGATAAAGATCCCTACCTATGTAAGAGTGAAATGCTGCCACCCAGCCTGTAAGACTACAGTTTTACTATGGTCAATCTCATTACCTTTGAAAGTACAGATACAGGGGAGCAAAGCAACATCCATACAGAGCTTATTGCAAATATGTTCAGCCGTACTGATGTGTTGATTCATGAGCACTGTGTAAAAGAGCTACTGTTCCTGCTCTGTTCTACATGCTGGCACCCCTCAGCTCTCATCCCCACTGTGAGAGAGGTGCAGGGTGATCTCATCCCCCCATGTGGCAAGGGGTGCCTAGGGCCTCGGTGACTGCCATGGAAACATCACACCCTGCCACCACCACTGTGAACAGGTTATAAAATCAAAGAATAGGCATTTTCAACTCAGAGCAGGAGACAGAGGTATTGCCTGGCTGCACATTTTGGTAGTAAAATGAATTTGCAGTCCCTATCATTTTTCAAAATCATGTACTTGATACCTATGGGTATAGCAAGATACACAAGCACGTTTGGAGCCTGCAGCTGCCCCAGCTCCAGTGCAGATTATGGGTGCATCACTGACTGTGTGCTGGGGTAGAAAATGGGGCACTCAACTCTGACAATGAGATCCTCGCTTAAGCATGCCACAAGTGTCTGAGTATGCCTTGGTGGAAAAGAAGGGTGCCATGAAAGGACAAGGCATAATGGGTTTAAACTAAAAGAGGGTCAATTTAGATCAGGTATAAGGAAGAAGATTTTTTACAATGAGGGTGGTAAAGCACTGGAACAGGTTGCCCAGACAGGTAGTAGATGCTCCACTCCTGGAAACATTCAAGGTCAGGTGGGACAGGGCTCTGATCAACCTAATCTAGTTGAAGATGTCCTTGCTGATTGCAGCAGAGTTGGACTAGATGACCTTTATAGGTCATTTCCTACCCAAAACATTCTGTGACTCTATGAGGCAGAAGAAGTGCTATCACTGAGTACAGTACTGGGGGGGATGAGCATCCCCATCCCTTTTGCCTCCCATCACAGGATTCTCGAGAACCCTAATCTTCATTTAACCAGCAAAGTTAGGTCCCTAGATCCTCTGTTTGTGGAAGAGATGCTTGGGGTTGAGGCAACTGAAGTAGCCTGCAGAAAATCTGTTCCAGTAGCCTCCACCAACTGTGAATTTCTCATTTTTGCCTGGAGCAGTATTAATTCAGTGACCTAGTGATCACATTTGAAACCGCATCAACATTCAGAGTTCTAGGTGAAACTCACTCACTGGGAAGACCTTCTGAAAATGCTATCACTGTCTTCAGACCTAGTCAGACCCACTGGTGTGGGGAACACATAGTGAAAATGCCCTGTGCAATGAACTTGTAGGGTTAGAGCTGTTAATAATGTATGGGCATTTACCATACATTATGCATTAAGCTCAGAAGAGCTCAGCTAAAGTCAAAGGTAGATCAACCAATCCATGGGATTGGACTTAAAGTACTTGAAAGTTGCTCTTAGATCAAAATTCAGTGAGCAAAAAGGAGCAGAGGAAGGTTCAGGCTGGCACATCCTCAGTCACTGCACCTGACCCAGAGCAGGAGCCATCTGCACAAGTCAATGGTGGCAGTAGCCTCAAATTGATCTCCATAATATTTCTCTTTTGGGAGGGAAGGAGATAATTAACACTGTCCCTGCCAACCCTTGGAAAAAAGTCTTTGCATACTGTCACCATGCCAGGTCCCCCAAGGGACACCTGTGCAAGCCTGAAACATGTTTCCTAGATGGTGTGAGGGTAAGCTCTCCTTTTGGGAAACCTTCTTGCACTATCTGCATGACTGCAAGAGAAACCCTGCCCTGGGAATGTGCCCTCGGATGGTTTCTAAGGAAGATACAGCTGAGGCAGATGGTGCTCAGACAAACCTATTCTTGGCCCACTGAAAGACTGCAAGCTGCAGCATGCAACACAATACTTTGTGGTACTAAAGGACCTTCCAAATGAGGGTCTCACATTAATTAATTAAGCCTCAGAGCACCTAGAAGGAAAATCTATCCTATTTTACCAGCAAGCTCAATGAGTATGCAAAGGTCACACAGAATAGAGGAGCAAAGGAAAGAGAGATCCTGGTATCCTGACTCCTGACTCCTTGCTGCATCTATTAGCTCATGAGTCCCCTACAAGGGACATGCATGGAGGACAAAAGGTGACCTACAGCCACTCCCCAAGGGGCACTGACTGAGAAGTTTAATAAGGTGCAGAAGAATGAGTAACAGGGTTACACAGATTGACACAGGTCAATAAAGAATATGGCATTAAGAAAATTGATCCTTTCAGAGCTTCCAGCCACGTGCCTATGTCCAAACCAGACGTGACTTGTGTCTGTGTTTCATACGACACCACCAAGTACCCACCAAAGGGCTTTCCTTCATGTTTAAATAATGAAATGCAATGTAATGCCAACAGGTGCTTTTTTCACCAGGAGAAGGGAGAAGAAGTGAAAGCATTTGGGTGGGCTGAGGCAGAGCCTGGTTTTTTCCTGCCTCTCCCACCCCTCCCTGTCCACATGGCTCATGAGAAAGAGGTCACCTACAGCCGGACGTGCCCTTCTGTCTGCAATGCCCAGGAGACAAGCACATGGGCACTGGAAGAGAGAGTAATGTGTGTATGATTGGGGTGTGCGTGCACAGCATAGCAGCTACGGTGTCTGTGCAAAAGACGGGAGGCTGCCATGGGGAAGAAAAAGAAAAGTGCTTTACAGGTCATCATGGAAGATGGTTGGTATCACTGTGAGAACATTTCGGTTCGGATGCTGCCGAATACTTGACTAAACGTCTTGGGACTTTCCTAGCACACCATTTTGAGTGTCTCAAATATCATACAATTTCAGCTTGCTTGTGCAGGGAAATTTTGTCAATCTGCCAGACTAAAGTAAATATTAAGATCATTGCTGTAGGAAAAGAATATAATGTATAATCAATAAGGGACATTCTGGCAAGCTCAGCTGGAATTAAAGGCTAGCTGTGTAAAGCATCACGTGTATAAATTCCAGCAACAAATGTAATTGCTCTTTGTTCTTTGTCTTGCAGCCGGAATAGAAGTTGATGGAGAAGTCGAAAGTGACACAGAGAGTGAAGGTAATGTAGAGATTAACAAATGTGATCTTGTTTGAAATACAAGAGGTAATACCTTTTCTTTTTCTCTCTGGCTTGTGACTTGCTCTACAACATGAACTATTTCATGAGCTACTTGCAAGCAAACAGATTTTTCCCTTGAGGTTTGACTTATAATAGTGATATGTAAACCACTGTTCTTAAGTAGGCTGTCCCCTTTCATCCATGCTCCCAGAGCAGGAGGCTGTCAGAGCCCACATTGCTTGGGAGTGAAACCCTAGTAAATCAAGCCCTGCAGTAAAGGCATCACCCTGTGCAGGGCTGGGAATGCTTTGCATTGTACTAAGGTCTGTTTGCCCTTCCTGTAATGCTTTCTTAGACCATAATACACTGGGATCTTGATTAATCATGTCTACAAGATAACAAAAATGAAAATGGATTGGAGGCAGACTGATGGCTGTGAGGGAAATCAGGAAAAGCCCATAGCAGAATTAAAAACATCTTTAACCCTGCATGTAGAGTATAAATAAAGAGAGATAGCTAAGAGGTAAGATCGTAACAGCACTGGATAGGTGATATAAATGGAATTGCCACTGCAAAAAATGGTTCACAAATGTGTCTGTATTATCCATAAAATATGAGAAAGTAATTAGCAAACTACTGCGATTTTTTTCTTTTTTTTTTTTTAAATCATATCCGCCTTTTCCATATAGGCAAAAAAGGTAATAAGATAAAAGTAAAAAATGAATTCTTCACATTTAACCTAATATTTGATGGGTTGAAATGAAAACTGTGACAGTTGATTGCCACAAATGAACATTTTCCCAAAGAGGATAGGTGGTCCTTTGACCTAGATCAACAACTGAAATTCAGCTGAGATGGACAATTACATAGTAACTGAAACCTGCCGAATGGCTCCTGAGAAATTAGTTAAAAGCTCCTTCTCATTCCCAGTGTCAAGTGTGACAGCCACCATCTACTACTTTTTTACCACTAACGAGCAGAAACTATTGCCTTGTTATCAATTTCTAACTTTTCACCAAAACAAAAAGGCAAATCCTCAAATTCTTTCCGCTTCTATTTATCTCACCTTTTAGGCTCCTCATTTAACACTCTGGATCCCATTCCAGCACAGTTTCCTTCGTCCATTACAATATCTCTAACTCTAGCAAAAAAAAAAAAAAAAAAAAAAAAAAAGACAAAATTACAAATGCTTTATTTGTTTGAACACTTTACTTTCATCAGCCAGAAATGCTGGAAAATTAGAAAATGTACTAATGATTTTAATGCACTTCGTTGTAAAAGAGATGGGGACCTGTATTTTTTTTTTCTCCTTTCCATAACATTCTGTAATTAAATCATGCTCCATTTCAATCCTTGAAGCTAGAAGCACTTCTGACTTCTGGAAAAAAAGAGGGGTTTAGCTTGCAATGCCAGTAAGAATGAAATATGCCTCAGAGACTATCCGGGCTTTTTCTCCTTCTCCAATACAAAAGAAAACTCAGAGAAACAAAACCGGATATTGCCTGAGCTGCACCTTTTTTCTGTATAAATAGAAGAACTCCTTCCCAGCCTTGAAAAGTAAACATCTTTCAAGGACATCACATCAACAAACAAACTACACATTGTATACCAGACTGCAATTTCTGTTTCCTTTGTTCTGGTGTGTTTACATGTCAGGAAGATATCTGCCTGTGCTCTCTGATGGATGGGCTTTTGCATTTGTAACTAATTTCTTATTTTCTTATGGTCACATAAAAGTCACTGATGTGCTAAATGAACCGTACTATCTTAAATGGGAGTTGCATAACCAGAGTTAGATGTACTTCTTGGAAGGGGTATAACACAAAGCCCACCGAGGTCAACAGGCACCTGCTCTTTGACTTCACCAGGGTTTGCATCAGGTATCCTGGCTGCCCACACTTTTCTGATGAATCCTTATTTGGCCAGCATGGATCCCAAAGTAATTGGTTTTTATCACTTACAGAAGATGAAGTAAAGGACAAGAAAACTAACAAACAACGCCTCAGGGAAACTGGCAGAGCAAGCAGACTTCAAAGTAAAGGGAAAGAGAAAGACAAAGAAGAAGATGACAGCAACGAGGAAGACAATGGTTGCCAACAAAATGGAGCTTCCAGGAGAAAAAACTACCAAAGGAAAAACAGAGATGGAAAAAAGGCAGGAGTGGAAGGAAGCCAACAGAGAGAGAGAGGTAAAAAGGCTCCTACCAAAGATCAAAAGGAATCAGAAAACAAAGAAAAGAAAACAACCAAGGAAGGAAATGAGGGGAAGAACAAACAGAAGGAAGACAGGAAAAACAGGTAATTAAACAATGCCTGACTATGGTGCCTTGTGTCAGACTGGCAGTGATACTGACATGTAGTGGCATATGGATCAGAGTGGCAAAACCAATAGAGTGCAAATAAGTTTATGTTCTCCTAAAAGAGACACAACAGAGGAACACAGTGTAAAATGCCACACAACCAAACTGTTTCCAGGTCACTATCATTTCTTATCCAGGATCAGATCTGTGCATGTAGTGGAGTCCTAATGCCTACAGCACAGGGTAGACAGCTTGAGCGCTTCGGATCTGCACACATTTTTTTGGTTGGTTTGTGGAAACGTTCAAGGTTAAAATGGATCCCTCATGTTTTCAAGTCTCTTCCTCTTCCAAATATCACCTGTCCGAACCTTCTGCTTCTCCCCATATCTCCCATTTTGTTCTGAAGGCATGAAAAGCATTTCTCCAGAGCCAGCTGTAGCCCTCAGCAATGCTTCTATATAGCTGAACTACAGTCCAAAGCATGATGTTGAGTGAATTATGGTGGGACGCAATTGCCTCCTCATGATTCTGGCTGGAAACAGCCTTGCTCCAAGTGTGAAGGGCACTGGCACTGCACTGAGCCAGGGGATGGCGAGGCACTGTGCCCACATCAGAGTGGGATTCCTGGGCCAGTGGCACTGTGCTTACCCCGAGCAAGACCTTCCCTCTGACTCCTGTGAGTTTTTCTATTCTGTGTCCTTTATTTTGTGTGTCATTCAGCACTACTTCTGCTTCTTCCAACTCATCTGATGAGGAGTCATTGTCAGAGGAAGAGCTTGCGATGCTGATGGAGCAGGTGGAGCAAAAGAAAAAACTGATTTCCATGATGAGAAACAAGCCCTGGAGGATGGTGAAGAAGCTATCGGTGCTCAGGTACCCCTCAAACTGGAAACCCCCATCCCTGGCGTCTTTGCTGACTGTAGTCAGATGCACTTTGCCTTTCCCTGAAATTGTATATTTGCTGCTGCTGCTGTAACACCACAGTCTCAGAAAAAGTGATGGGCAGAGCCTGGCCAGCCTGTCTGGGTTTAAATGAGCAGTTAAAATGTGCAATCTGATTTTCAGCCTCCGTAACCAAAGAACAGACAAAGTGCAAATCTGTTCAACTGATACCCATGGCCAGGTCATTCTACCCTTGTATTTAAAACCAAATGACTCACTACTGACAGGCTACTTGTTAAAGCCAGCTCCATACCCTGGTTTGCTTATTCATGTCTGTTGTCAGACAAATCAGAGCAGCAAAGTGCCACGTTACTGCACAGGCCTGAGATGGGTCTGCTTGGAAAAAATGCTACGTTGTTTGCAGAGGTTTATGGAAAAAAGCTAATACTGCCATGCAGACCCTGCTGAATGTGGGAACAACTCAGGCAACAGCAGAGACCCGGTAGTGCAGAGAAATGGGAGGTGGCTGGGAAGGGCAAACCAGGAAAATCAAAACCCACACGTCAACAGGGAATGGCTCATATCAAACCATTCCCATATTGAGGCAATGATTCAAATCCCAGCTTTATTGGTTAAGAATCCTCTGAAACCCCTTTCTGACAGGAGAGATTTCACAATAGCATTGCAAAGCACGCACAGCCCCATGGGGTGTGGTGATGCCCTTGCTCCGTGTTTGCCGAGCAGTTGCTCAGAGCTGCAGTGACCGGGCTGTGAAGGCTGGCAGTCACCACGTGTCTCTGCTTCTCCCTTTTACACTCTAAAGGCGATGACCTGTTCCATCTTCCAATAAAATCATGAGCCGTGAACTCTGACAATTAATTCTGAAAATCTAGGTAAAGATCTATACAGAGAAACTGCATTAAAGCAGCTTTTCTCTCTCACAGGCATGCTACGAGCCTGAGCTCATTACAAATAAATTCTCATGTCCCTAAAATTCCAAAGTTCTGAAAGGAAAGAAAAGAAAAAAAGAGCAAAGCAGAGTTATTCATGGCACTTTTCCCTTTGGTGTAGGATCCTGGCTAAAATTGTACCTAGGATCATATTTGACAACATACCTCCATCCTTTCATCTTATTCCTGAACTACGGCAATCATTACTGCCTACTAACAAACCTAAACAATACTGTTGCATTGCTTATGCAGGGGTCTCCAGAAAGGCTCTCAGCATGCTGTACATTCATTAATTATTTTGGATGCATAAACTCAACCCTGAGACAAGAAATTATTAGCCCCATTGCACAGACGAGGAATGTAAAACACAAAGAGAGTGAAACAATATGTTTAAGACTTAGAAATCTCACTTTAGGTTTGCAAATGAGGCCGCAGGTGGCTTTCACAGGGTTAAAGGCTGAACTAGCCAACTATTTCTACCAAGTGGAAGTCCATCTTTCTCATAGGTTTAGGATTGCAAACAACCTCCCAACTCCTAAAATTTAATCTCTTCTCATGATGTATTAGCGACACCAATTTATGATATAATTTTATTCACAAATTCAGCATACCCTAACAGCATCTACTTGGATTATTTTCTCTGTATTTCCCTTAGAAATCCTATTCTAAAACTAATTTCATTTTGCAGCTTGATTTTACTCCTGACTAGCGTACACTCATTCCTCTGGTGCTGAGATTATACGATTGGGCCAACTGCACATTGTTGATATTTATCCAGGGAGGTCTTCATGGAGGGAAATTCTGAATCCTCTTGGGGTTTCTTTTGCTAGGCAATGTTATTTCCTTCTTGACCTATGCATCAGGAGAGAGAAGTTATAACAGGCCTGCAGGGTGGGAGAGCTCTGTAGGAAGAGAAACAGGTGGACTTTTGGTTTACACCCAGGGAGAAGTGTGGAACAATATTTGGGGCACATCTCTACATGAACATAAGTGCTTTGGGGACCTCCTACCTAGTCCCAGATGGGCATGAGAGCTCTACATGACATAGCAACACCTGCAGCAGGTAGCAGCCAGAACCCCATATGCACAACGTGGTGTGGAGAGAAATCAAGCCCCCACCTTCACACAAGCATAGCTGTTATCCCACTGCTGGAGGCAGATGTGAAAAGCTAAAGACCCCTTTGCTGTTTTAATAACCTGCCTGTTTATTTTTCAATCAGGGAGGCACAAGCTTTTGTAGAGAAGTTTGAAGGAGCTCTGGGAAAAGGGAAGGGCAAAAAGTTGTATGCATATAAGATGATGATGGCAAAGGTAAGTGCTGCAATGATGTCAAGGAAAGGCTTGATACTCAGTCAGGCATTCAGTACGTTTGTGGGTTTATTAACCTCTGTTTAGCAAAAGAGGCACCAGGAAGTCTGAATAAAAATTCCTGTCCTCATTCAAAACAATATTAGCTGACTTCAAATCTATTGCAGAAAGAACAGGGGGAAATTTACCCCAACCTGAAGGTCACCCATTGTGACCTTCCCTGAAGCAAGGGATGGTTTGCAGGAGCAGGGAAAACCATGGCTTTCTGGTTGCAACCTCCAAAACCTTGATCTGTGAGACAAGGTACCCCTAACGGGGAGAGAGGCCATGTCAAACTCTTGCAATACCCCATGTACTCCCATAAAATTTCATCTTCCCCAATGATGAGGAGATAATAGGGAGAACGATGGCTGTGTTTTAAGACTGAAGCTGCATGTTGTCATGGAGATTATATTGAGAAATGCAAAACAGAGACAGGCTTGAGACGATGAAATCAATGGGAGTTTAGCTGCTAGTCTGACGAGGAAGGATTCAAGTTCCGCATTTTATCATATTAGATTTTGTTTTAAATAGAGTTGGTTCTGAACCAACTCTTTCAACCTAGAGCTAGGTCTGAATTTTCTACCCCCATGTAGTATGGTAAGCTCATAGCTCAGCTGCAGCTTTCCAAAAGCCTGGAATGGTTAAAACTCAGATAATGAATGTGAACGGTTGCGGTTGGGGGGATTTCAGATTGAAGGGTGTTTCTAAAATAGTCCAAAAGAACAGACTCAGACCACAGTTCTTGCTTTGGCCTTTACACCCACTCCCAGCCATGCTACCAAACCCTGACATTAGAAAGCCCTGCAGAGAAAGCAGCCTCTCCCTTCACACCACTGTGCTCACTGTGATGTTGTCTTGTTTCAGAAATGGGTGAAATTTAAGAGAGACTTTGAAAATTTTAAAACCCAGTGCATACCCTGGGAGATGAAGATAAAGGAAGTGGAGAGTAAGTGGAAGTTGCTCTGTGGTGGCAGTGGGACATTTTGCAAGACAGCTTTGCCTTCGTCCTAACAATGTTCCAATTCTCTGGTCCCTGATCATCACTCACCCTGGGCATCAGCACCAAACAAGGAGTACGCACCCCAGGCAGCTCCAGGCATCACTGCCTCCATCAGTTGTGGGGACTGTTGGGAGGGTCATGGACAACATGTTGGGGAGACCTGAGGGTAAAGGGGTCCAGGTGTTGCTGAGCACAGTTTAACCCTCCCAAGCTCCTAACCATGAAACGTCTTCTGGTTTAAGGTCACTTTGGCTCCTCAGTCGCTTCCTACTTCATATTCCTACGGTGGATGTATGGAGTAAATCTTGTCCTTTTTGGGTTAATATTTGGACTGGTTATAATTCCAGAGGTAAGTGTTTAATTCTCCTTTCAGTAATATCTTGCCCAGCACTTGACACAAACATGAGATGGATAACACAAACAAATATCTTATAACAGGTTTTAGAAAAATGAAACATATGAGGACAAAAGACTGATTACAAAGACTGTTACTGACACAGAAGCAAAAGATGGATTGATATCAGGAGACCTAAAACACTATCAAAGATCCTGCCCATCCAGCAGCTGAAACAGGAGCTCAAAAACCTAATTTAAGACCAGTTTTACATTTTGGCTAAAGTGAGAAACATGACATATCAATCCTAGACACAAGATCTGGTTTGCAAGAGCCATAAGAAATGGATTGTGCTCAGAAAGTAATTAAGAAATCCTGTTTTGGGCCCTCTGAGGGGCATGTCCATGGAACAGCAGCCATGGCACAGTCCTGCAGGAGGAGTTCTTGAGGGAATAGACAAAAAATTTCCCAGCACTTTGCCAAGTAACATTTGCTTGGGAAACAGCCTTCCAATTCAGATGATTCACAAGCAATAGTTTTATTTTTAGTTTTTCTATTTCTTGCTTTTCTTGGAGAAGAAAAAGGATCTCATAGCCAAATTGATATGATCATTTATTGAAGATTTTTTTAATGTAGCCATTACAGCTCTGGCTAAATTACTCAGTGCAGTATTTAAAGGCTGTGCAATCCACAGACAGTGGCATCTGTTCTGTTCAATGCAGAATTTTATGAAGCAAAACTGCAGAGCAGAGTCTCTCCTGAGGACCATGCTTTTGTTCTCCTTAATGTGCTTGCTCACGCTATCAAAAGGGAAAGCTCAGTTTCCTCCCAGGATGAAGAGACATAACCATTAGCACTGAACAATATAAATGTGTTTTGTTAGGAACTCTGCATATGGTAGAAGCCTTCGCCTCTAAAGGATGCATACTGTTACTCATTGCCTACTGAGCTGTTACGATATGGAGAATAGCTGGGCAATAAACATTTAATCATAAACTATTTTGAATGTAATTAGATAGCCCTAAAAAATAAGTGATAGTTATATGCTAGGACCTTTCTAAGTCATGAATGCTAATGAGATATTTTGGTATAAGCACCAGTCAGAGTTTGCTTGTAAATATATTAACTTTCCATAGCCCTTGCCATTCTCTGTCTAGACTTCAACAGCTGCTGGACCAGCTGCAAGACCTGCTTTGTATGGTGCAATCAGGACAGGCAGTGCCATTGAAACTGTTCTTTGCATCTTTTTGTCATATGCTTTTTGCTCAAACCTAATTGCCTTCTACCTCACCTTGAGAACATTTTTCAATTCAATAATACAAAATATACTGCAAGCTCAATCCAGTGCTTTTGACTCCTCTCAGAGGAGGAACCCTGCATAAATAGATGAAATTAATCCCTTTATTGCCTTAGACCCATGAAGATCAATCAAAGAACTTCTTGCTAAACTAAGGACATTTCAACTGAAGCTTGAATTGAAGGATACGGTTCCTCCTCAGCAAAATATTTCCTGTGCAATGGATGTGGCCAGGGAAAGGGAAATCCTCTGGTTATTTGGATGAAATTAATTCTAAATATTTTAAACTGCTGCTTTAGTATAAAGAAATAAAATATATATTAAAATCAACAACAAAAACAAAAAAGGAAATCAGCCAAAAGCAAATCAAAAGAGACTCATTAAGAAAAAACCCTGTAAAATCCGTTATTAATGTTCTCCAGGTCCTGATGGGAATGCCGTATGGGAGCATGCCAAGGAAAACTGTACCCCGGGCTGAACAAGCAACAGCTATGGATTTTTCAGTACTTTGGGATTTTGAGGTAAGCATATGATTGTTAATCATAAAAGATCAGTTGAATACCTCCTGAAACCCTTCAGAAGTTAGTAGTGCTACAAGGATAAATTTGTTCTAAGATACACCAGCACCTATTTTTTCCAGAAGTTGGAGACACCTGTCTTTTGTTGCAACAAAATCTTTGTGGATGCCCAGAGATTTCTGGCCAAACCAGCATGTACACATGCAGACACTTGTATATGGATTTGAACAACTTCCATATACAAAAGTGCTGGTTGGCATACATCACACATGTGTATGTATACACAAAAGCCATTTTGCTTCCAATTCAAAAGGCAGCCAAAGGTGAAAGGCTGGAGCTGGAGCTGGAGCTGGAGCTGCTCCAAACCAGGCAGCTAGAAGGTGACTTCAAGTTGTGAACCCCCTTCATGGGCAGGGAGCACCTTGCCAGACCACTGAACTTGCTCATAGCCTCAGAAAGAGGATTGCGCCCCACGTAGGTGCCCTCCCTGTTCCCCGATGTATTTATATGAGCCTGAAGCAAGAACCAAAATTTATGACTTGCACCCAAAGGGAAAACCCAGGTTTTCAGCCATCTGTTTAGTGCTTGGCTGCAACAACAACTCACCTCCCACCCTAGTTCCTTTGAAGAATTAGGCCAAACAGATTAAGTGTTTTTACCGAGTAGCCCAAAAAAAAGATGTGTGCAGGGAGTGAAGAGATTCTGCTGTGACTAATACTTTGGGACCTGACTTTCAAAGTTGCTATTTCTGGAAATATTTTTTTAATGCTTGTTGGCACTGGCCCATCTGTTACAAGCACGGGATCCAGTCCTTCTGTAATAAACCCCATCAAAATTTCCTTACCCAAAAGAACCCAAACCAAATCAACCAACCAAAAAAAAAAAAAAAACCCAAAAAAACCACAACCCCCCCTCAAAACAACACTCCAAACCCTACTTTGTTATAAGCCATATTATTTAAAATAGTTTATTAAAAAGGCTTCAAATATTGGTGTCCAGGAACCTATCAGGGCCAGGCTTTCATTCACTCCCCATTTTCTGCTGAGGATCCTTTTAGCTCTTCCTCTCCCAGCCCTTTCACCTACTTACCACAATCCAAAATTCAGGGGTGAATAATGGACATTTTTGATAGCATTGCACTGAATGAAAAGCTCGTTTGAGTAGTGCACTGTAAAAATACAAGAGGCAGCATTTAAACTCATTAATCCAGAAAAAAAAGCCCAGGCAAAATAACACCCCCAAACAAACAAACAAACAAATCTGAAAGAGTGCTGCTGAACTGCAGCTGCTGATTCTGTCTGTGAGACCATAAGCTGTAGATATATCAGTAAGGAAAATTGCCTCTGGACAAGTCTGTATCCTTGCATGAAAGGCTGGCTCCTATGACCTGCCAGTCTCTTGCCTTGCTGAGGTCTTGATCCTCTGAACCCCTCTGCCATACAGGTCTCCATCCAGTACCCATTCCCTTGCTGCCTGACCTAAGGGAGCAACCATGCAAACTTGAGAGGCCATCTCCAGCTATGGGGCAACAATGTGCACTGATACCCTCTGCAGCCAGGAGATGTCAAATGAAGCCCTTCACAGAGGCTTTCCCTTTGAAAATTAATAGATGCTTATTCCAGCATGCTCCACAGGAGAGGTGCGATGGGGAAATATATCTCAGAGCAGGCATAAAATGAAGAGTCAATACTGTGATCCTGAAAAATACCTTTCAAGAAAGAGGAGCTCAGGAAATGGATGCTTTGGCAGCAAGGAGGTCACACCATGGATTTTTAGAGGAGTATAAAGAAATAAATCTCACTTGGACACCATGTCTCACAAATGGAGTTTAAAGAACATACTGGATGATGTAAGCGGAGAAACTAATTTTTCAGTCCCCAGCATGTGATGAATCAAAAAGACAAAGGATTGGAAATTAGAAGCTGAGAAACAAACTTCACTAGCGCCTTCCAGGGGCATTATATTTTACCCGGCTTTTTTCACCACACCTCCCTAGCAGACATTATATATGACAGGCTACAAGCCCCAAGCAGATGTTCGGTGGTGTGCCGGCCATGGGCCTCCTGTGCTTCCCCTAGTGGCCCAGAAGCACTGACAGGAAAACATGCAGAGTGGTCCTGTATCTGTGGCACTGCACTTTGTGCAATGCAAACATGTAGCTAACGCGGCACCCAGGGGTACCAAAGATTTTTATTACATTAGGAAAGAAAAACCTAGCACTTTGGGGGAGCTTAATTCAATTAAGTGAAGGTGGCCAAATACTGGAAGAGAGGCATAGAAAGGTTGTGGGATCTCCATCCTTGGAGATTTTCAAAGCTCAGCTGCACACAGCCCTGAGCAACAACACTTAGTTTTGCGATTGTCTCTGCTTTGAGCAGGGGGATTGACTAGATGGCCTCCAGAGGTCCCTTCCCATGTAAACCGTTCAATGTCTCTAAACAAGATCCATTACACAGCCTCTGATATGAGCTTCAAGTTATGTCTCAATTTTGGTCTTTCCAAAGGCTTGATGAGAGGGGAGATTGCTCAACTATCATGGCCAGACTGACTAAGTACACTTAACTAATAAGCTAAAAGACAACAAGCAAAAAATAGAGAAGTTCAATACATAATGATACACATCAACTTGGATGAGATACAACAGAAAAATAGGGAGAGATTGCTAATGCCGGTTAGGAGGTCTGCACACTCGTTGAGTACCTAGCAGTTTGTACAGCAAAAAATAGGTCTTGAGACAACATGGTTGATATTTTGCCTGAGCTCTGCTTTCCACAGGAAAGTAATGCTTTGATTTTACTCTGTAGTTATATTTGCTCTGCAGGTGGCAGCCAGTAAAAGGAACTAAATCTGCAAAGTACTAAGTGTCAGTTGCCTCCTACCTGAAAGGAAAAAATTCCTATCATGGTGGGAAAGCCCTCTGCTACAGCATTTCTATAAGATCCAAGTGTTTGATATTGGCTTAGAGAAGCAGGTGGGCCACAGTCACAAAGAGCAGTGAGGATGTTTTTCTGGGAGGGATAAAGCAATGACGGATCAAAAATACGTTTTAGTTTTGAGCCACTACCCTCTTACATGCTCTCCCTCATCTTTACTCTCTTAGGAAGATAACCTCTTAGGAAGATGGCTCTCAAAGGTGACAGGGCACCAAACAGACAAGAACGAGACAATAAAAATTTTCCAAGTTTTTTTTCCTTGTTTGAATCTTCAGTTTTCACTAGAAATCTCTTTCCTGCAGAAGAAAAGCTTCACAGCTTACAGAGGATTGCTTTTGCTTTTCCTCCAGGGCTACATCAAATACTCAGCACTCTTTTATGGCTACTACAACAACCAGAGGACAATTGGCTGGTTAAAATACAGGCTGCCAATGGCGTATTTCATGGTTGGGATCAGTGTATTCGGCTACAGCCTGATGGTTGTTATCAGATCGTAAGTAAGCTGACATTGTCCTCTCTGCAAAACCCACCCAGATGTGTCTTGCAGCTGGGTCCTCCTCCATGGGCACAGCTCATGACTTGGTCCAGCCTTACTGGATGGGTGGAAAGGGGGCTGTGTGCCTGCTGTTTTCATGCACTCAGCCTCCCCATCCACTACCCTGGCTATGGTGGGCTGGGCAGACCTGGGCACTCTTCTGCCTCATCCATGTACTCATGTGCACTATTTTGAACCCTCTCATCTCCTACTCCAGCCATCTTCTTCCTTCTCCTCATCTCTGTACCTCTTTAATCCTTCTTTCGACATTACTACAGGGCCATCAAATTAGGTAGATTTTGTACATGAAGGAAGATGTTACTTGCAGTAAATTTCCAAGGTTCATTTTCCATTCTTTCATTGCAAAATAAACATTCCTGAAAGCCAGTGTGGGTCCACACAGATGGTGCAAGGACTGCGGAAAAGAGCCAAATGCTACCAGATTGTTTTAATGTGTCCCTAAAACAATCAGTGGAGCTTAAAAGTGGCCACAATCTCTGTGCCCCTTGTGCACTGTCCCCAAGCACCAGTGAGGCTCCCGCAGCATCCTCAGGGCACTGAGGATGCAGCTGAGGCACTTGTCACTGCTGAGATGATCTCTGCAAAGTCCAAAATAAAAAAAAATAAAACCTCCTATCTCTGCCTGAATGACACGCCATGCAAAGGTCCTCCTTTCTTTGGAAGAAAGAATAAGTCCATGGATTTGTATCACTGCTGAAACATGCCCTATTGCTGTGCAGCAGAAAGAGCCTCTTGAGCCTTTGGCTTGAGTGGGACATGGGGATTTTCTGTACATTTGCCATGAAATTGCAGCATCTGTTGTCTCGCCTTCCTTGAGGGACTGGTGCTAGGAACTCTAGTGGGACTTACAGAAGGATTTCAGGGATCAAATAATAGAGAGGAAACAGCAGAAGCCATATCTGCTCCTACGCTGATTAACAAGAATAATCCTTTTTCTCTCCCTGCATTACTTGCTGCAGGCTCTTTGGCTCCAGCACTGTGCAGCAAGTGAAGTCTCACTAAAACTTTGTGCTGCAGTGGGTGTATTGTACAGCACCAAGGGGGTTTGACTAAATTTAGCTAACTAAAGGTAGCCATAATCATATACTGTATCCTAAGACCTGGAAACACCATAAATAGACTTTCTTCAGATACTAGCTGGTGGAAGCAATCCTTAACCTCTTTAATCACCCATACTAGTTTTTTTCCATATTACGTTTTTAATACAAGACCTGCGTAGCCCTGAAGACACCGTTTGACAGTTGAGTTCACTTTAAACCTGAAGTCTCATGGCACATATTAGTCACTCCAAAACCCCAAGAATGGTCATCTCACTCCATCTTATCCACCAGTAATCCACTGGTGCTGTTCTGCAAAGCTGAAGGAGACATAGTGGCTCTGTGAAACACTGTCTGACCTTGTCACTGCACACATCCTTATGCAGGATGGCACGCAATGCCAATGAAAGTACAGCAGATGGGGATGATGACAACTTCGTTTTCAGCTGGAAAATGTTCACCAGCTGGGACTATCTCATTGGCAATGCAGAGACAGCAGACAACAAGTTTGCATCCATCACCACCAGTTTCAAGGTAAACCTAATCAGCATTTCCTCATCTGCTTCTGGGATGCTCCCAGTGCCTGCCATGGCAGAGGTTTAAGGGGAAATCTGGGTACCTGCACAGCATCTCTCCGTATGAACAGGTTATGGTGCTGATCCATGGCAGCTCCAGCTTCTGTGCCCTTGTCCCCCAACTCTCTTCTTCAGGATTTTAAAAAAAATTGTGTTACTTTAGAGTGCAGTTCCCCCACCATGTTCCCTTGGGACATGTCAGGCTATTTGCCATTTGATATCTTTCAGTCCAACCAGGATGCCTGTATGAAGCTTAGCTTGAATTGAACACAAACTACCAAGATGAATATAGCCAGAATAGCATGGGATTGCATTTCATAGGGTGAGAAAACATCTGATGTCGCCTTATGCTTGGTGCTGCAAGATATTCATTCCAATTCTTTGAGCACCCCTGTTTTTTCAGGAGTCTATTGTAGATGAACAAGAAAGCAACAAGGATGAGAATATCCACCTCAGAAGGTTCCTGCGGGTTTTGGCCAATGTCCTCATCATCTGCTGCTTGTGTGGGAGTGGCTACCTCATTTATTTTGTGGTGAAACGCTCCCAGACATTTTCCAAAATGCAAAACGCGGGATGGTATGAAAGAAATGAGGTAAGGAAACTTTGCTTCCAGTTTTCTGCTTAGATAATTTGCCTTGGACATCAGCATAATTGTTGCAACAGCTTGAGGTCAGCATCCAAGGCAGAGAGATTCGCTACCAGAGTTCACTAGTTCCCTTCAGTACCTTTGCACTTGTTGTAGCTGGGAAGCACATTGGTCTCACTGAAAGTCTAGGGCAAATTAACACCTCCTGCAGAGGGGAAAATAGTCTTACAGTAAATCACAATAAGAATCAATGGCTCTTTGGCACTTACAACACTGACCACCATCTTAAGAATCAAATTGCATGTTAACGCTTACAAAGTGTTGTACTAGAAAGCTCTCTGGGTGTTAGCAATGTCCATAATCAGACATAACTCTAATCCTTATCATCCACCTTGAATTATGGGAATAAGATTTTAGAATCTGAATAAAAATTGCAGTAGTCAAAATTTTTCTGTGTCTGATTTTGGAATGAAAAGTTCAAACGTTCAAGCTCTTCACACACACACAAAAATGTCAACCTATGGAAAGCTCTAATTTCAACATATACTACATTATCATGTATTTATATATCAAAGCCAAATTAAATCCAAAGCCGTGCATTTTCACAATTCCCATGGAAAACTTTAGCAAGACAGCACCTGCTCTCAAAATGCTTTGATTTATTACGGTGAACTTTTCTGGTGATAACCTGATAACTTTCTAGTGACAACCTGAGATCTAAAAAAATAGTGTTCTGGGTACTATTTCTTGTCCTGAAAAGAAAAGCACAAAGAAGAGACCTGTGCGTCAGAGACTGACTGCACCTGTACCAACAAAGTCCTCTACAGGCCAATGGACACCCTAGGGCTGTAAAAAAACACAGAGCCTGTAAGTCACACCTGAGCTAACCCTGACTGGTCAATGACATCACTGACCACAGTACAACTTATTATCTCGCATGATAAAGAGGAAAAAAGATGCCACTAGGACATGTTTTCCCGAGCTGCAAAACTGAGTCCTTGATGTGCTTCCATTCAAATCTGTAAATACCTATTGCAAAAGCAAAGGTGCTGAACGTGGAAAATAAACATTAGCATCAACTAATTATCTTTAGGCACACGGGCCAGTCTTGCGCTTCCTCCAAAACTAAAATAAGAACCTCGGAGCTGATGCAAGCAGTACTACAAGGTACTTGAGGAACCTAAATATTCATGAGTCTGGACTGACAGGGAACAAATCCTTCAGAGCTTTGAGATAACAGCAAAAGTGCTCCTGCAAGAGCAAGTTGTGCAACCCAGCCCTGAAGTCTGATGCTGTGCTGCCTGCACACTAAGCAAAGCCAGAAACTGAGTTTGCTTTGATTCCCCTCCCCTTCATAAATCCTTCAAAAATATCCAACCAGTTGCCGGCAACCCCCGCTCTGGTCGAAGTAAGATAGTCACTGTTGTTACTACTAGCAGTTATCTCGTTTTCCTCATGTGTCAGGTTGAAATTGTGATGTCCTTGCTGGGCATGTTTTGCCCTCCACTGTTTGAAACCATCGCTGCACTAGAAAATTACCATCCCCGCATTGGGCTGAAATGGCAGCTGGGGAGGATCTTTGCGCTCTTCCTTGGGAACCTCTACACGTTTTTGTTGGCCTTGATGGATGATGTCAACGAAAAAGTAAGAACTGAGCCAAAAAGCCATGTCCACTAGCATTTTCCGGAGTCGAGGGTGAGCGCGCCTTGTCCCCACAGCCTGCAGGCACAATCGCCCCCTTTGCAGCAGGTGCTTCCTCTGTCCCCAGTCCTCGTGAGCATCGTCTGCAGTGCCCCGGGGAGACTCACCAAGCAGAGTCTCCAGCTTCTCTTTACAGCCCTGAAAAAAGCATGGTTATTGTCTCCTATAATCACAGCATGTTAGGGTAATTCGATTTTTTTCTCCATCAGACACTGTGTGCAATTTCTATTAACGCAGACCCCAAGGATATAGTTTATAATCCTCTTTCCCTGCCTCCCCTCTTTAACATTATCCTGGTAGTGTGTTGTGGGCAGATAACTGCAGGAAAGGATAAACGTCTAACTGATCCACAGAAAAAATTACCCTATTTCAAGCTGAGAAGAATTAGAGGAATTTGAGGTGTTTTGCTCTGCCCTGAAAAATTATGAGGAATGTGAGGAAGGAGGACTGGATAGAGGCTCCCTCTGCACACAGTAGTTTTGAAAGAGGTCTGACTCCTCCATTTGTGGGGAGCAGGTTGCTTGCTCCCCAAAACTCGTGGAGTCTCAACCTGCTCTCGGTCTAGAAGGGCTGCTGCTCCCCTGCTCCTGGCCAAGGGAAGCAGTTTCTGTGCTATAGCCAGATTATAAAATCTGTTGTAAGCAGTGCCTTATATGATGGGTGGTAACTGGTAAGGGGGAACCCAATGCCTTGGATTTCTCCAAACATATCCAAACTGAGACCTCTATTTTGTGATGGTTTTAGCCATGGGGGTCTCTTTGTTGCAGCTGGCGGAAGAGGACGTGGTAAAGAACATCACGTACTGGACACTGCTTGGCCACCACAACTTGTCTGTGGGGAACGACAGCACTGCTACACCACCTCCCCTTGACCCTGCAGATGTGCCCAGGGGACCCTGCTGGGAGACAACTGTTGGCATCGTAAGAAATTTGTTATGTAGCAAGTCTCTGGGTTGGTTTGGGGTGATTCATTTTTTTGTTTTTCTTGTTGATGTCTTTAGCATTTCCAGGCTTGAAGTTTTCCTCACAAATGACACATCTTTTGCCTACTCTCATATAGCAGCACCAAGGCAATGCAAGTTCTTGGCCATGGTTCTCAAGCCTCGGTAGTGAAATCCTCAGCTGAAGCAACCAGGGCAGACACAGCTCTGCAGCACTTGCCAGGAGGAGCATAAAAGGCTGGGTAGTCTGCAGCCATGCCTGCATCATGTTCTTGTTCAGATCATGATTGTGCCTTTGAAGCAAACTGCTCTTCTCCATCTATTTCTGCACTTCCTTCACATTGCAGAGAGGCTTTGGTGCAGGAGTAAAACCCAGCCAGAGGACATGCCTCAAGGGAACTCCTGACATGTCCCAACCCATAACACGCGGTGAGGCCATGGAATGAAAACAAAATTAGGCAAAAGTAACCCCCTTGAAAGGCATGCAGGGTGGCCTTCAAGTCCTCAATTTCACCACCCTGCATCTACCTTGCACCAAGAAGTTCAGCAGCCACACTATGCACAGCTTAAAAAGTAAAAGCAATTGTTTATTGGCTGACGTGGTTAGGGCTTGCCAAGCTACGAGGCTGTGCATTCCTGTGCACACACGGCGGGTCTTCACTAGCTGAGTGGCTTTCAGTTGAGTGGGAGAAGACCCACCACCATCACTTCTCAGAAAGGGCTGATCCTCAGAGTGACTGAGCTGGTTTTTTCCTCCCCAGACTTTTAAACCTTTTCTTGTGTCTTTCCTTTAGAATCCTTGGGATACCAGTTATCTCCATCTGACAAGTGTTACTTCCACCTGCAATTTTACCTTTTTTGTCTTGCACATCTCCCTTGTCTACACTTACTCATAGCTCTTGTTTACAGCTGAGCATTTTCCTCAGGAGTCCATGTGAAGGTCAAGGAGCTGAGCCATACCAGAGCGATGCACAATCAAAATTACTCTTGGTGTATGTGTATTTTACACCAGCATTATTGCTGGCATTAACATTCTGCTCCAATTTTATGAGCTGCCACAGCATACAAGCGCAGTCAATAATGCCAGCAGCAGCAATCAGGTCTAACAGCTGTAATGGAGCTCATAGTTCCCAAGCACAAAGGTAAAGCTTAGGCACTGCCGAGTGTTTGAAAACAGGCAGGGAGTTTGCTCGTGCTACGCTTTTCTGAAGGTAACTGTCATATAAAGACAAATGGCCTAATAAAAAAAATACAGTCCTGAATCCACTACTGAAATTATAGGACATAAATGGTTTTTTCCCTTCTTTTAAATTTCAGGAGTTTGTGAGGCTCACTGTGTCCGATATCCTGGTGACCTTCATAACCATTCTGGTGGGAGATTTCATCCGAGCTTGCTTTGTGAGATTTGTGAATTACTGTTGGTGCTGGGACCTAGAGGCTGGATTTGTAAGTCAGTATCTTATAGCTGAGAAGATATAAGTAATTTAGGGCCATTTGGTCAAATGCTACAAAAGAATTTGTTCTGAATGCTTCCAGTGGCCCTCTGGTCTTGTCTGATAATTTCATTGGTGTAGATAGTATCTGCATCACTTTTCTGGATCAATCAGTTCCATCCTCACCTAATGACTTTAAAACATGAAGCTGAGTTAAAAAAAATAATCTGTTATTCATTCCGTTGTTATAACTCCAAACCTTTGGGCCCTTCTATACCTCTTCTCAAAGCCCCAGAACTTCCTGTTCATTGCCCACCCTGCAGGCAGTAACCTGCTTTACTCACAGCACCATCTTCTGATCGATGTTGGAAGTTGGTGTTACTTCTGCTGCAGTGGGGGAAGCAGCATTTCCTTGCCCTCTCATGTATGTGTAACTCACAACAGCATTGAACTCTTTGGTATTCCTAAAGGCTACATTACCAAAGCAGCCAGTATTGCAGATGCACAAAACACAGAAGAAAATAATGGAGGGGTGGAGGGAAGTCTGTTGTTTCACGTAACAGGAGACAAAACCAGATGGATTCAGAGAGAGATGGAAGTACCTTGCAAGATTACGAGTAGATCAGTGCACCCACTCCCTAGCTGTCCTACTGGGAGTGGTCTGGAAAACCTGTTCTGGACCTGCCACTATTAGCACCCACATCAGATAGTTACAATACTGCTTTATATGGAGTAACCTAGCACCTAGTACAGAGTATAATGTCACCAAATACCCATCAGGCCATATGTTCCCTCATATTTCTGTCCCTTTGCCTATATTTCTGTTCTTCAGCAGCTTGGATATATCCAGCTGGGAACATGGATATATCCAGCTCATCATTATCACCATCTAAACATTCAGTACTTTACCACAGTGGAACTGTAAGTCCATAACCAGACACACCAGCTGGAGTTTAAACCTAGTCCCCTGCCATGGCTCCTTTGCTTGCAGCTGGCATTATATTAGCAGGGAGAGGTAAACACAGAGCAGCTCTAAGCACCTCCATATATCTTTCCAATTTTGAGCAAGCCAAGAGAGAAGCAGCAGCCCACAGCACAGTAGCTCCAATTCTGCCTTTGCCACAGTGCTGCTGGTCATTCAAGCAGTATGCACACAGCGGGAGCCCTCCCAGGAATCCCTTCTTACCAGCTTTAAATAAGCATCATATACCCAGCAGAAAACAAAAGCAGGTACCTCTTACAACACACTTTCCTTTCTTTCCCCATACAGCCGTCCTATGCAGAGTTTGACATTAGCGGCAATGTTTTGGGTTTGGTTTTCAACCAGGGAATGATTTGGTAAGATACTTTTTTTTTTCCTTTCTTATTTAGAAAACCTGTCAGTGGAGTTAGAAAGCCAACTAGATAAACCTTTAGGTTCTGGTTTTTCTGATTGTTTGGCTTTCTGTGCTTGACTATAGAAGTGAAAATTTAAAAATGCCAGCTTACTTATCCAAGAGGACTAGGTCCATGTGCTGGGGGTAGACTTTAGAAAGGGTTTGGGGGGAATCACGAGGTTACACATCACTGGAAGGGTGGGCATAGAGCCAGCTAGATCAAACTGGGCAGGAGGGGCATGTCACAGAACTGCCCCAAGGGAGGGCAAATGGGAGCTGCTTTGCCCTATTGTGGCAGCACCAGAGGCAATAGGCAACAGGAAAGAGCACCCTCATCTACTCTGAGAGGAAAGTTCCTTTTGCCATGGACTGATAATTTCTTCCTGTTACAACACTACAACATCTCTGCACATTTAAGAGAGTCTCCCTGTACAGGTTAGATTCACCTGACATTTTCCAAGCTGTCTCAAAGCCATTTTTGTCACAAACTGAAAATCCTTCGCAACCACTAAGAGACTAAGTCCTCGCTGGTCCTCAATGTATGGGACCATACCCTAATAAGGATGCAGGTGGTTTCTCCTCTGGAGCACAGGGTAGCATAAAGCCCACTCAGACTTCATTTGTGGGCACACTTGCCACCACATGAACAGTTGTTTTCCTGCTTTTGAAAACAGAAAACCTTCCAGCCTGTCAAAAAACAGCACCTGTCCCTCTCTTTTCCTTTTCAGGATGGGATCCTTTTATGCGCCAGGGCTCGTGGGTATAAACGTGCTGCGCTTATTAACCTCCATGTATTTTCAGTGCTGGGCTGTTATGAGTAGCAATGTCCCTCACGAAAGAGTCTTCAAAGCATCCAAGTCTAATAATTTTTACATGGGACTGTTGCTGTTGATCCTATTCCTCAGCCTCCTGCCTGTGGCTTACACCATCATGTCCCTGCCTCCCTCCTTTGACTGTGGACCATTCAGGTATTAGCAAAACACCAAAAAGGATATTTTTTGCTCTGGGACATTTTTGTGAAGTTAGAAGACCTGGACTCCAACAGAGGTGGTGAAATGCCTCCTTTCTCCATCAGCTTAAATCCTTAGCAATGTGAGGCAAAGGGTCATGTGCAGCTATGGGGTATAAACAGTCAGCTGGGAGCACTGAACATCCTCCTGTCTGCTATTTTCCTTTGCTACATGATTCCCGGTGTTTCCCCAATACACAGCAATGAAAGCACCAGAGGACAGCAAGGTGCAGCCCCCAGAAAAATAAAAAAAAATTAGGAGCATCCCTAAGGCTCTCTGGAACATTATGGGAGCAAAATGAGTCCAAACACTCCTTCATAAAGATAAGAACTCCCACAGCATGAGATTTTGTGTGTTGACTTTAGCTGGAAAATAGCAGGAAAAGGATAGGGGTGGCCTGAAGATTTGCAGCTTAAAAAAAAAAAATAGTTGTAGGTTTGGGGTTTTTTTAATTAGGACAGAATCAGCACTGCATAGAGCATCCAGTGGACTGGATTAACATGCCAATAAAGTCTAATTTGATTGAATAATGCCATTTCCTGGGCCTGCTGGATCTGACTCAGCAAGGAGCCAGCTTGGAACAAATTGTTCTTGTAGAGGCAGTGTTTTAGGTTATCTGCTTGCTAACAGAGAATGACAACAGAAAGCTGAAAGACTTGGGGGAGAAGGCAAGAGACCAAAATACCCTTAGTTCTATAACAAGGACAGGTGTCAATGAGTAATGTCAGAAGATCTGACAAGAAACTTGTTGCAGGCATGCTATCATTTGGAGATGACTAATCTGCAATGTGAAAGAGCTATTTCAATTCCCAATCAACCCTTCAAAAGCCACTCAGCCTGATTCAGACCCTGGCACACCACTCAGCTCGACTGAAAGCTCAGCTCTCCCGAGCGTCTGGCAGTTGATGAAGTTGGGATACTGTTTAGCCAAGTTTGCCTTTATTGACTCTCATCATCAGAACAGAGTCCAACACCCTCCTCTGTGGAATCCTGCAAGCTCCCAAGAGGCAACAAGCCCGAAATAGGAGGAATAGTACTGATAGGGTTGAATTCCCAGACCCAGAGATGCTGGGGAGAGAAGAAGGTCGATTGCATAATCCAGCCTTCTACAGATTTGTTCTCCTTTCATACAGAATACTCTCATCTGCTTTATCAATCTGGTTAGAAATTACTCTTTCAGTGAGTTTCCTATTAAGCAATAATCACAGCTTGCTATTTTTGTCATTACTTAGCAGCTCTTCAAGTTGGCTCATTATTTCAGAAAGGAATTTGCATATAGAAAGTCATGAAAAGGCCATATTTAACAAGATATTGATCAGAAATGTATAGTTACTGCAGTCTGTAGTTTTTATATATTTCAGGAGGGTAAACAGTCAGAACTCAAAAAGGAAATAAATGAGCAAGTTGGCCTAGCAAGGTTTGTTCTTATAATCAGTGGAGGAAGGAAGGGAATGAATGGACCAACAGATAATCTAAAATAAGGCATTTTAAAATCCTTGGTGGCTTGAGCTGATGCTCACTGAAAGAGGGATAAAGCATGCTACTTAGCATCATTAAACTGAACGGCTTTCTACAGGAAATATCTACACTCCTTAACTGGTTGTTTGTCTTTCCAGTGGGAAAAAAAGAATGTATGACGTCATTCAAGAGACCATAGAGCTTGATTTCCCACTTTTTGTTGCCAAGATCTTCAGCTATGTGGCAAATCCAGGACTGATCATACCTGCAATTCTGCTCATGGTGTAAGTTTTCCTTGCAATATTACATGTCTGGGTTGGGGAAGAAGGTTAAAAACCAAAAATTCTGGGATATTAGTGAGGTCTAAATACACTTTCTGCTGAGATAACAGTACAGATTGGGGAAGACACATGCTCTCTACCCCCCTCCCCTTTGCCTAACCCAATTTCCCCAAATTTAATTACCTGACCCAATTAAACAGAACTTTGTAGATTAAACACATTGCTGACAAAGGCCCTGTAGATATCAAAGCTGTCACAGCTTCCATATGAAAAATCTTCTGTAGCCAGCAGGAAATAAATGGACAGTCTCAGCCTGGTGCTTTCTGGAGAAGCAATTTCTGTCACAGCTGGTGGTATTTAGAGCACAGCCATGACAGGGCATTCAAAAATTACATGTCCCAAAATGTGAAAAATTGTCAGTTTTGTTGGGGTTTTTGGGAGTTTTAATTTTTCATTTTCCAAATAATACCTCTGGAATTTGTTTCAGTGCCATTTGATCATTTCAGCTTTGAAATCACTCTTAAACCCATAGCACCTTCAGCAGTACTAGGATCAGGGCAGTTCTTTCTTTTGTTTTAAAGATATTTTTGCCATTATTATCAAGGTTTCCAATAACTATCAAAGTAAGTGGGAGAGCTGTGGCCAGATTCTATAGGCAGACTTTAGACTAACCAATGTGAGAAAGAGACAGAACTGGGGTGCCTATTACATACAGAGCTTGCCTGCTTGACTCTTCCTGGGTCATCCACACACATTGGAGGTGGGCCTCTGGACTTATCCAGTACAACTTGGGCACGGAGATGCTTCATTCTGAATAGTTAGGCCGAAGGTAATGCCATTAAATTAAATCAAATACAAGTTCCCATCGTTACAAAGTTTCTTACAGAAACAACCCGAGAAAAATCCCAATTAAACTTAAAACGACATGTCATCCCCTCTACCTGACTCAAGCTACTTACTCATTTTAACCTAAAAAGGATGATCGTATACTGTGCAGACAGATCCTACACTTAGAAGAATCAGATCAGATACGTGCAGGAGACAAGAAGTCTCACATCACATCCCTATTACGACCAAGCATATTATTGAGTTATAAACTCTATTCCTGTGGGCTTTACAGTAGCACTGGCAGATGCTATTGCAAACATGAGATGAAGACTGCAGAACTAACACTTCCCAAATGGACCACCTTTACAAAAGGGCTATAGGCCAGATTTCTGAGGCTTTGATGCAGCCCTCAAAAAAACTGATGGGAGAGCAGTAATACCTTTGAAAATAATGTTTTTTTTTCAGTTACAATCTCCTGCCCTTTCCCCCACTGACAGCTGGGACAAGGAACAGCACAAATCCAGTTTATTTGTTGATGAGACACTTTTTATCACCCCTTCCCATTCTTGGCTATTCCCACACCACAGCCTTACCATTAGTCCATTTCTCCTTGAGACACCATTTTGTCTCTGCCCTGATTCCTCTCTGAAAACTGAGGGATACTTTATGTCCACATTACCTAAAACATTCTCCTTTCCCACCCAGATAAACTGCCTGTGTGACCTTTGAGGATATTATGTATTTTTGATTTCCAGCCATTCAGCTCTGAAGAGGGTCACAGCTCTAAAAAAAGTGGTTTCCCCCATGGTGCCTGGGCAAGTCAGACCTACAGCCCCTTGGCAGTAGCTCTCACATGCCCCAAGACCATTGGGTGTTTTGCAGAAGTACTGCTTTTTATCTGCATGCACATTTTTTCTGGGATAATCCCAGATGAAATCATAGCTACCATATAAGATTGTTTCCTAAGGCTTCAGTCCTTTTCTGTTCTCCTTTTCAGTCAAGTCCCCAGTTTCCTGCCTTGTCTCTGAAAATCTTCAACTTCCCCTCTGCTTCTGCTGTGCTGCTGACAGGTAGACAGGGCCAGGCTGGAGCTTGTCCTTACGCTTCCCCATCTAGCTTCCCAAAGGATTGAAACCAGGGAAATGCAAAAGCTTCATTTAGTCCCAATGGGCAGAGAACCACTCTCAAAGCAGCAGGCAAGGCAACCTACAATCCAGCCTAAGTAAAAATAGCCTCTACAATAGTGACATGTGGATCGTAAATGGACGGTCTGTGGATTTGGATTGCAGACACTGAAAAAACATCTTTTCCACTTCTGTGGACTGAATTAAGTAATTTTCTCTAGTCATGATAACCCCTTCTCTTTTTTCCAAGTCCAATCCAAAATGCATCTTCTATCTATTTCTGTTCTTAGCTCCTGGTCTCAAACAATGATGGGGTCCAGTGAATAACATGGGTGTCAAACTTACTGTCGTGCTTCTAACTGCCTAAGGACAAGGGAAATAGGAAATAAAGAGAAATAAGAAGCAGAGATATCGTACACACAGGCATATAGCCTAATTCCACTCAGGTTGAAAGCAGGATTTCAAACTGTGGCCTGCAGAGCTTCCTGGCAGAAGCTAAAAGCACCTTACTGCATCAAGAAGAGGGGAAAATTAAAATTCCTGTGCAGACTAGAAAAGGACAGTGACCCACACTCTCCCCCGATCTGGGGAAGCAGTAAATCAGAGAAGAGAGGAGTCAGGGTGTCATAGTTTAAGCCCATATGGAAATTAAGCACCACACAGCCACTTGCTCAATCCCCTCTCTCTCCCCCCCCCAGTGGAGAGGAATCAAAGTAAATGGGGAGAGGAATCAAAGTAAAACTTGTAAGTTGAGATAAGAACTTAGTGAAAACAAAGTAAAATATAGTAATAATGGTAAATTATAATGATAATAAAAAGGAAAAAAACAAGTAATGCACAATACAATTGCTCACCACCTGCTGACTGATGCCAGACCCCCATTCTGGGTAACTACCCTCAGTGTATGTACTAGGCATGGTGTTCTCTGGTGTGCAATACCCCCTTGGCCAGTTTGGGTCACCTGGCTATGCTCCCTATCAGTTTCTTTTGCATACCTTCTCACTGGTAGAGCATGAGAATTAAGAAAAACAACAACAAAAAAACCAAAATGAAACAAAACACCCAAACAACAACAAAAAAAACCAAACTAAAAAGAAACAACAACAACAAAAAAACCAAACTCCTTGACTTAGGATAAACATGACTCAGTAAAACCCAAAACATCAGTGTGTTATCAACACCGTTCTCATTCTAAATCCAAAACACATCACTGTAAGAAATTAATTAACTCTCACCCAGCTGATAGAGTTAGCAGCTCAAACATGAGGGTGCATCTGCAGGCCCATTTTAGAGGGAAGTAGACCTAAAGAACCCCATTGAAAGTGGATAAACTCCATTTGCTAATGCTTACTCCATTCCTCAGCAAAGTTTACAGCTGCTCATGTTGCAGCTTACAGTCAGACCAAGATCTGGCTTTGCTCTGCCTTTTTTGGGAGCCAGCACTAGCAGTGCAAATCAGAAATTCAGCAATAAATCCAGCACACCTGTAGGACCTGTCCGGGATATTGGTGTGCACCTTGGAGGATCACACAGACTGCCTCATCATTGCTTGGACAACCCAATCCAAACATGCCTGACTCCTGCAGATTTGGACTGCACCAAAGGCATGTCCATCAAATCACCTTTCTGTGACACTGTCCCTTTCCCCTCTCCCTTTCAAGATCCCTTCAGGTCAGTTCAATCCTGAACAAGCACAACCTCCCTTAAGCAATAAACCTGCAGTAAACCAAGGACAGAGGAAACTCAGGCTTAGCCTGGAGGCACAGTGGGCTTATATCTCACAGTGGTTTGGGAGAGGGACCTGGTGAGCTCATGCCCTTCCCATCAATGCAGGAGTCTTCAGGGGAAAAAGCCCTGGTGGTTGGAGGCAATACTGGACACTAATGCAAAGGGTGAGAAAGGGCTGGAAAGGGACTGGAAATGGATTTTCTCAGTTACTCAGTGAACCTGAGAAACCAGCTCAGAAACACAGTACATGGCATCCCAGATGGCTTTGAACAGCCAGCTCTAGTTATCTTTATGAAAACAAGGGTGCTCCAGGTGCTTACATCCTGGCTAGTCACAAAAAAAATGGCAGGGCAGTTGCAAAGCCCTGATTAAAAAGTAATATTTTCTAGGCAATGAGCTTAATAACACAGAAGAAATAAAACTACCACATCTTTACAGAAGAACAAAAAAAAACAATTTTCAAGAGGACAGAGAGCCCAGTTCACCAGGACTGAGTTTTGAGGTAATGCTAGGTAAAAGGAAGCAAATGTGTTTCCTCTAGACAGACCCCTGTAAAAAGACTCAAGAAAGGTCATCCTAAGTACCCCTTCCTGATCTCCCACCTGGAAACTAATATGCCAGTACATGATGTCTTGCTGGGCTTAGAGACATGCACTCTGTTGATGAAATCCTGGAGTCTGGTTTGAGGATGCTGAATCTGGGCTGAAGCCACACAATCAGGTTATGAATTGTCAGAAAACCTTTTTTTCCCTATCTTTTTTTTTCCCCCTTTTATATAAGAATTTTCTACTTTATTTAAAAAAAATACCAGCTACAGTGGTGAACTGAACAGCTGGTACTTTTCCTGGGAATGGCTTGAGCCACTGAGCACATGATTTTTATACTTTAGAAAAATAAAAGCACTCTAAAAAAAAATCATGGAGACATTTTTTACTACCAAAATATTACTTGCTGGTGTCAGAGGTGGTGAGACAGACACAGACACTTAGGCATGTTTTAAAACACAAGCCTCCCTGCATGCCAAAGACTGGCAGCCAGCATGCGCTCTCCCACCCCCGCTTGCCTTTCAGCTCCCTCCAGCTTGGCTTGGTTTTCCCCTGGTTTTGGCATGTCCTTTTTGGAGAAGAAGGGATTGAAACAAAAGCCAGTGGCTCTGCTCCAACCTGGCTTTTGCTTGCCCTCAATTCTTGTCTTTGCTCACTCTCAAGGGTCCCTTCTGGGGATACAGGATGCAACTGATTCTGGCAAAGGGGGAAGGAGGACTGTTCCTTGAGCACTGCTTTTCAGGAGAGGCTTCAGGCCCTGTTCTGCTGCTATTTCCTGAGTTTCCTGTTTTTTTCCTAAGGTCTCTCTCTGTGTTACCTGGTGCCTGTTCAATTTCAAGGCTGGTGCCTGGTTTCACCAGGACTGCTGGAAAGGAAGTGAAGGGAGACCGTGGTTATCCAAGGTGGAGGCAGGAGGGTAGGGTTGTCATTTTTCTTCTGTTTGAGCAGAACTGAGCTACTGGATGGGCTCAGCGCATCTCAGTTGACCATGCCCCAAGGCAGCCTGAATTTTTCCTAAGCCTTGAGCCTCTAAAAGCAGTTTGGAGATAGCTGGTGGGAAAACTAGGTATTAGAAGGTAAGCAAAAAATTAAATGTTCCCTCCTGGTGAAACTTTCTCTCTCTCCTGATCCTGTCACTACAGCAACATGTTTCTTTTTCTAGCCTTGCCATCTACTACCTAAATTCTGTGTCTGAAGCGTATCAGCGAGCCAATGCAGAGCTGAAGAAGAAAATGCAAATGGTAAGTATTGATCTGGCAAAGTCATCCTTAAAATACATCTTTCAATTCTGATGTGTAACATATACTTTTAAATTACTCTTCACTTCTGAATACATTGGTGACAGAAGAAAAAGACATATTTTATGCTTGTTCAGTCCCCTCTGATGGCATTTAATGGCTAACTGCAAAGAATGGTCACATCCCATAATAGGCTGCTATTTCATACATCAAAACTACAGTTCATTTCACCTACAAAAATAAGTTACTTCGAAATTTGAGCAATGCTTTGGTGCCTGAGATTTCCCAGGGACAATGATAAGCCTATCAAAACTACAGCCAGATTTTGTACAAGTTGAAAAGCAATGAGCCATAAATAACAACATGGCAATAACAATATTTTTTACCAGTAATTCTCAAAACACCTTACACAGGAGGCTGGCATCTGTCTCTGCTGTGTGAATAGGAAAAGCAAGGTACAGACAAATGCAGTGACTTGAATTAGCAGGGTAGGATTTGGACCTCATGGTATCCAGAACTGTGAGAGGTTGCAATATGTAGAGGACTATAACACAGAGAATCCTGAACTAATATGAACAAGGTCTGGCAGCAGAACACCTGCAAAAGCACAACTTTGCTCAGAGAACAATTCTCAGTGAGAAACAGCAAAGGTGTTCTGGTACCAGGGTTTGTACTGGTCTGGCAGTTTCCTCCAGAGCTTTCCTGATGCTGTTTGGTATGACATAGATGTGCCCAAACTACCAAGCCTTGCATCAGGAGAGGATGTGATGTCATCAAATGTTATCAGCCATTTTACCAGCACAGGGCAGGCTGCAAACCAAAGAAGCAGTGCCACATAAAGCAAAACATTGCATAAAGCAGAGACTGGTGCAACATTAAAAGTGAGGATGTGAGCACTGAGAAATGAGACTCCGAAAATTACATTCAAATGCTCAAATCCAAAATTGATCACTCGTGCATACGGTTTAAAATAAGTGCCTTGGTGCAAAGGGCATCCTCAAATATTGCAAGAGTTGAACACGTGCTGCAGCACACTCGGACTTAAGGGCACTTGGTCTGTGATCAGGGTTTAAGGGACCACAAAACAAGGCCCATGTGCTACCCAAAGGAACAGAAACACCTCAAGACAAAGACCTGCCTTTACATATCCTTGTCCCACAGGCACCTGTAGGTTTGCTGAGACAGCCAAGCCAGGCAAGAGGAGAGGTACACAGCAGAGCAGGGGAAAGGAAGGGTATTGGCACAGCCCTGCTGCTTAGGGAGAGAGGAATGAGAGCTGCCTGTTCATGGCAGGGATAGTTAGCAGTTGGAGCCCACCAGAGACCCCCATGTGAAGACCTGCTGAGCTCAGAGAGACCTGTCGTGGCTGTCCCCAAAGTCTGCCAGGTTTGCCAAGTGGATGAAGGTTGCTCTGTGGGTTGGGACCACTCAGCTGTAGCAAGGCCATGAGTTGCCCTGCATTCCATGGCTCCAGTACACAAAAACTTCCATTGGCAAATACCTCTTTTGGGGCGAGAGATGGAGCTGGAGTGGAGTCCATCCAAAGTTTCTCACTGCATAAGAGAGGGCAGCCTCTCCCTTCCCTTTCCAGCATGCTTGTTCTGAGCAGAAACAGGTTATTTTCTTCCTTCTACCATCCAGAAGAAAATCTTCTGAAGACATAAATACATACAAGTGAAACCAAAGACAGCTCTATAGCCCATCCCCGTGCTGCCATACCCTCCTCCTCTTCCTTTGGCGTTTATCCCTGACACTCTCTCTCACAAGAGCTCCACATTTCAAATAAACCAAAACGACAGAGAGGATAGATTGGAAGTTGCAGAAACATGCACAGTCTGGTAGACCTAAGCCATGTTATGAGGAAGTGCTTTGTCCTAACAGGAGCAGAGCCATTCCTTCCCAGGCTCTCATCCCCCTACCTGGGACATGCTTCCTTTCCCAAAAACACTTGGTCACTGGACAAAGATTCAGCCCCTTGAACTTCGCAAAGAGTTTGCATTCGTACCAACAAACACTTAGCCAGGCCAACCATGGCACCAGGTCACCATTTCACAGATTACATCTGCACTTTTAAACCAACTCCAATGTTTCTTATTGATGCAGCAACGCGAAGAGGAGAAAAACAAAAGAAACAACAAAGCCACCACCAACCCCATGCTGCAAGATCTGGAGGATTTACTTACACAGAGTACTAAGACTGAAAGTCACCCCAACCAAGAAGGTAAAACACAGTGCCCCTTTAATACTTCTGAAAAGGCTCATGTAGCAACAAAATGATGGGGTAGGATTGAGAAACTGGAGGGATACACATTTGCAAGCTATTAGATGAGCATAACTAGCATAGATTTTTTCATTCACAGAAGTCCACCTGTGAATAGACACCCAGTAAGGGGACTTGTTAGATTGTGTCTTACACAGGCTTATCACAGTGTAGAAATCATAATCCAAAGTTATAATTCACATCTCAGCTATTAACCATGCTGGTCATGAAACCAGCAATTTATTCTGGGAACAATGCTTAAACTCCAGTGTTTTTTCTGGGCTGATGAGTTGAGTCAGGCACAGACTTTTTTCTGAGTTGAGGTTTTCATTGGAAAATTCATCATGAATGAGACAGAAGCTTTTCACAGAAGTGCATTGGTCTTAGGGCAAATAAATGCATGCTGTAAACTCTGCTGTGGGGGTCCAAAAATGCAGGAGGAGGCATCGGGATCTGGGCACTTTCGAGGAAAATGGATCCTCCAGGCTCAGTCTCAACCAGTCACTTCCTGACTGGCAGACCTCCTGCTCTCATTTGTAAGAAACATGTGAAAGATTTTAATTCTATCTTGATAAAGATGAGGAAAGCAGACTAGTGCCACCATTAGTGGCATTAGCACCACTAGTGCTTGCATTAAATGGGCTGAGATGAGCTGGAAAGTTTAGAGTAACCCAACACAGACTCCCCTCAGAGCAGACCCAGGGCAATCATTTAGATTGAAATAGTGCTGGCAGTGTTTCAGGTGCACTGAAACTAAAGACTAAAATCAGCAGTTAGCCATGACCACCCCATGACTCGAAGTGTACCAGCATGGCTGGTAGGATTATCATGTCTTAGAAATGCATCAGTAAGAACCTGCAAAAATGGCTTGGGCAGAAGAGACATGTACTGGCTGTTGGCTGGGGCTGAATGGTCTTACTTGTGGTTTCTTCTCTCAGATGCCCAAACACAAATCCCCAGACACTCTGGTTATTGCACACAGAAGAAAGAGCAGCCACTGGGGAGAGGACAAAAGGCAGTGTTTGCTCTCAAGAAAATAACATTCATAATCTTTGCTCTAGAAAAGAAAATGGAGTCTCCTGATAGAACCAGCCCTGTCAGGAAACCAGGCAGAGGAGCAGTCCCGGATGGCAGCCCCATGACTGGTGGGAGAGGAGCAGCATTCACCCCACCATCACACGTGTTTGTGACACAGCCACTGACACCAGGTGTCTGGGCACCGTATCCTGGCCAGCCCAGGCCACGGGGGCACCCACTGGGACTAGTCCCTGGAAGAGGGAGAGGGCAGCCACGCTACTTACAGGCTGCTTAATAAGCTCAGCAATGCTTCTCCCATCTGACATTAAAATAGAGGTGCTGCATGAACTACTGTAGTTTTAGGAGGAAATTATTATTGCATGTTGCACATCCACTCGTGATGGTCTCTTATCTATCCAACACTACCTAATAGAGATTTGTTTAGACACTTAGTAGTACTTTGGATTTGTAACCTCCAAAGGCTGCGCTGATTTTGATCGCAAAGGAAACGGGAGGCAGCCAGAATGAAAATCAGCTGTGGCCCTGCTACACTGTTACACACAGGACGCAGCCCTGCGGCCACTAACAGCAGCACTAACAGTGGTGGGCTCGCTGTGTGGAACAACTGCCTGTCAGTCCTTCCAAAGGCTTCTTTAATTAATAAAAGTGGTGTGAGTTTACCTGTCGTTTCAATAGAGGTGGTTTGGAGGTTTTTTTGCTGTCCTTCTACTCGAGGAATTAAGTATTCTTCAAAAAAAGTGAGTGTCCCAGTCCAGCTGCAAGACAGCTGCTACTAGGAGTAGAGGACCCCTATTAAACCAACAGAGCAGGACGTTTTGTCAGCTGCATTTGTGATAGCTTTTCTCCAGTCTACCTGCTCCAAACTTTCATATTTTTGTTTCAATCTCACCACCACTTTCTCTGGGTTCCTCTTTTCATAGTCTGTTGACAGCAGCCTGTACCACTATTTCAATCCCTGGATAGGATTCCTAGTCTAGCAACACCACCCAGCGCAACTGAGAGACTAACAGTGTTTTGGCCTAGTTTCTGATTATAACCAGTTAGAAATTCCTGGTGCAATTTCAGAACAGTATCTTCTATATCCACAGGACTTCCCAAAACCTGTGGCAGAGCTTCTCTGGGCTGACCCGCTCTTTTACACCTACAGTTTCTTCTTGTTGTTTACACAAACCCTCCTTGATCTAAGGCAACTTAGATCAACATCTGTTGTTCTTCTTAAAATTGCTATAAAAAATGAACTCCTTCAGTAAAACCAAATCCACAGCCATAGCTAGTAAAAATTCCACTAAAGCAGGAATATTTGGATTTAAATGTTCTCACTTTGAATTTTTCCACTAAACGCCACAAATCTTGTCATATATGCTATGGTCAGGACAGCAAACTCAGTAAACTATTTTTCCTCTATAGCCTGACAGAGCACAGAGCATTTGACCTTCAGCCTGGGAACATCCATCTTCAAGGAGCTGGGCAAAAGGGTCCAGTTAAGTCAGATATAAGGCAGGCTGAAACAAATATTCAGTTTTTCAGGTCCAAAACAACAAAAGTATTTAGGCATCTGATTTCTCATAGGAATTATGGGATTCAATATTGTGCTGTGCTTATCTGTTGATAGAGATCTAGCTTGTTTGTTGATGTCTGTGCTTTATAAAAGAGACCAGAGCCCTGGAGAAGTACTTCCAGAAAATACAAGCAAGGGGTAAATAAAAGGAAAATTGAGAAATTCTTCAAAAAATAAATCATTGCATTGTGCTTTCAAATACAGAGGAGTCAATGTCTTACTTCAAGAATTAGCTGTTCCTGGTGCACATCTCAAAGTTGGTTTGGCTGTTCCCAGGCACACTGCTGTGGTCAGGACTGGTTGTTCTCCCAGGGCCTCCACAAGAAAAACTGCTCAGCAGATTTATTTCCTAGCCTTGGAAGGACATTTCTCTGAGCTGGGTCTCATAGATAAGGTCTTGTCTTGCCTCTTTGCTGTGAGAGTTGCTGATGCAACACAGCTGTGGTGACCTCTCTTGCCATCTCTGTCCGCAGAGATGCCCAGTCACTCTGCTGGAAAAAGTCAGACAAGAGAAGACCTTTTTCAGGAGACAGAAGCTGTGGCCCCCCATCCTTCTTTGCAGGTGTCCATATTGGTCAGAAAGTGCTGGGGGAAGGTGCTGCCAGCCTGCTAATCCAGAAGGATGTCACAGAAACAACACAGTGCCCTTATTTCAGCCCAGCTGGTCTGCCCTGAACACTCTAGTATCTGGGAATGGTTGCATAACAAGGAGTAGGACTTGCCTTCTCTGCGCTTCTCAGATCACACTGAAAAATCATTCGGAAAGGGGAGAATGTGGCTTCAAATCTCACTCACCTCTGCTAGAAAACAGAAAGAGATTGGAAATGTGCGTGCATACATATGTGCATATGTGGAAGAAAATTAAAGTAGGAATATAAGGGCAATAGGAAACATTATGAAGAAGCCATAAGGAACTCAGACAGGTTTTGACAACTGAAGAAGCAGAGGCAGACTTAGACCAGATGAGTAACTACTACAGAATTTGGATGCTCTCCGAATCAGGCCCCTGACTCAGACCTGCAATAACATTGAACATTACAAAGCACTTTGTCATCTCTGGAGCACACAGCTGCCCGTTAGCTAATTAATCTTTCAAGGTTTGCTTATCTCTAATTATAATGCATTGATCAATGTGTTTTGCAAGCTCAGAGACTTCAGGATAGGAGAGTGATAGTATCAGCTGAACAATTTCTACAGACCAGTGGCAACTCTTCCCTAACTCCTCTGTTAGAGTACAACAGTTGCAAATAGTAAAAATTCCAACCCTCAGTCCTTGTATTGACTGAAAAGATTATTTGTCTCTTGGAGTTTTGAATCCATTTACCAGTTACTCACATGCAACTGAAGGTTAAACTCCACAAAGTCATTGGAATATTCAGTAGAGTTTGGTTTCATCCCTGTTTTTCTATTGTTAGGAACAGCAATAAGCTCTTGTCTGAGAACTCAGCATTAATTTCCAACCTCCCAACATTTGTTGAAAGACTATATCTATCCCAAGCTTCCTCCAGGGCTCAGTCTAACTTCAAGGGCAAAGACAAAAGAAAAAAGCTCAGTTGTGAATACTGGGAGCCTCCTAGTAACATCTCACACAGAGAAAAGTTTGCATTTATATATGACTGGAAAAGCCCTCTGCATTGCAAATTTTACCATCTTGTATTGCCACTAGATCAAACGCTGCATTCAAAAGGTTTTGGTAAAAACCAAGGAAATACCTAAGCTTAATTATTTTTCTTCTCACCAAAGGTTTGTTTTTAAACAGGCAGCTCTTGTGGGCATGTTTTTAGTTTGCATGGCCAGACAGAGCATCTGCTCAGTGTTACTGATGAACAGGAATTTCAACAAAATAAAAAATAATTTTTAAAGGGCAATTTTACAAAACACATGTGGTTAAACATGAGCTGTGAAAGGAAAGACAACATGTACACTTCTCTTGGGGTAAAAAATGCCATTCAACCATTTCTACCATAATGTGTTCAGCCATAGTATGAGACAAACTGCTCTGTACTTGCAATGAACATAAAATAGTAGACACCACTAAACAGGTTTTCTCATAAAGCCAGAAAAGAATGCAAAGAACACACTGATTTTGTATTCAGTACCAAGGCACCCTGACTTCTCCAAAGCAGAAAAATCAGCTTTTGCTCTAGAAGGAGAATAAGTTCCTTTCAAAAGAAAACCTTGAAACGTCTGAGCTTGTATTCTCAGGTAGTTTATATGAAGCTTTCCAAGGAGAGAAAGGGAAACAAGCACTGCATGCCACTACCATGGAGAGCATAACCTCCCTCACTCCAAACAAGCAGTCAAGATCATCTTGAGCCCTCTTTCATCCTCTGCTCCTATAGCCGACCCTGCACTGTGACAAAACCATTTATCACACATTCTGAACCTTCACGGACATAGGATTGTCACCTTGCTTGAAAATCTGAGCTAAGGAAGTCTCATGAGTAATCCACCTCCTTTCTTCTTCAGAATCTTCACTGTTTTTCACTGCACAGCACTGTTCATGGTAGGAGGAGAGGGTTTCCTCATACCAGCTAACAAACCAGAGCTTTGGGGATGGATTTTTAGTTTCTTTCAGGGATGTCATGTGGACATCTAAGATAAAGAAACCTCTTAGCTACAAAGAAGCTCCATATACTGCAAGAGCCACTGTAGGGGCAGGGGTCACAAGCTGCACAGGCTCTAGCATCCGCTGAGACCTACCCTGAGAAACTTATGCTGATGAATCGAGGTGAGGAAGACAGCAAAAAAAAAAAAAAAGCCATTTCACCACACCCAGAGAAAATTCCTGATGATGGAAACTGGTATTTTTGTAGCTTATCCTGCCCCACGAGATATGCTGCTCAGCATGCCTGGCTGGGTGGGGGCTCTGCCAGTGCCAGTCTGGGAATGTCTGCCTTCCAGGAACTGAACAAAGGGGTCCAGTTAGGTCAGACCTGAAGAAGACTGGAAAAGGATTCCGCTTTAAAGATCTAACCCAACAAAAGCATTTAAGCATCTGATTCCTCACAGGAATGTGCTGTGCTTATTTGTAGAGACTTAGCCCACTTGTTGATGTCTGTGCTTTTAAAGGAGACCACAGCCCTGGAGAAGTACTTCCAGGAGATACAAGGGAGAGACTTCAGAATTTCAGAAATAAAAGGAGACTTCAGAATTCCTTCAAAATTAAATAATTGCATTTTGCTTTCAAATACAGAAAATTCAGTGGGTTATTTCTAGAAATAGCTGCCCCACTAAAAGGTGGGCATTCCCAGGCTGGCACTGGCAGAAGCCCAGCAAGGCAGGGGTTCTGCTGGTGGCAGGAGCAGCAGAGTGGCTTCCATGCTGGTGAAGATGCACTAAGACTCTAATGTCCTGTGGGCCCCTGAGTTGCCCCGAGCAGGCCATGGGTACAGCAGGTCACCCACCTTCCTGCACTCCAGCATGTTCAGGCCCCTCTCCACAACCATATATCAGGTGCTTTTGCTGCCACCAAAGCAGGTCAGATGGGAACCTCTGAAGCCTGACCCCACTGCCTCTCTAAACCACATCGTTTCAAAGCAGTGATGTCCTGATCAAAAAAAAAAAGAAAAAAAGAAAAAAAAGAAAAAAGAAGAAAGAAAGAAAGAAAGAAAAAAGAAAAAAAAAAAAGAAAAAAAGGGGAAAAAAAGAAAAAAAAGGGGAAAAAAAAGAAAAAAAGGGAAAAAAAAAGAAAAAAAGAGAAGTTTTTGCCAAAA